CCAAAAAATCGGTGTCGAGATTTAAATGCCACAATAATCTAGAGGGAAAACCATGAAGAAAAAGCCAAACTTCGTGAAAATCGGATGAGATTTGACCGAGTTATGGGGGTGGTAATTTTTGACCCATGTCTATATATGGGGTAAGATTTTGACATGAATTTCGACTAAAAAATCGGTGTTCAGATTTGAATGCCAGATTAATCTAGAGGGAAAACCATGAAGAAAACGCCAAACTTCGTGAAAATCGGATGGGATTTGGCCCAGTTATGGGGGTGGTAATTTTTAACCCATGTCTATATACGAATCTTGGGGTAAGATTTGAACTTGAATTTCGACCAAAAAATCGGTGTCGAGATTTGAATGCCACATTAATCTAGAGGGAAAACCATGAAGAAAACGCCAAATTTCGTGAAAATCGGATGAGATTTGACCGAGTTATGGGGGTGGTAATTTTTGACCCATGTCTATATACGAATCTTGGGGTAAGATTTGGACATGAATTTCGACTAAAAAATCGGTGTTCAGATTTGAATGCCAGATTAATCTAGAGGGGAAACCATGAAGAAAGCGCCAAACTTCGTGAAAATCGGATGGGATTTGGCCCAGTTATAGGGGTGGTCATTTTTGACCCATGTCTATATACGAATCTTGGGGTAAGATTTGGACATGCATTTCGACCAAAAAATCGGTGTCGAGATTTGAATGCCAGATTAATCTAGAGGGAAAACCATGAAGAAAAAGCCAAACTTCGTGAAAATTGGATGAGATTTGACCGAGTTATGGGGGTGGTCATTTTGGACCCATGTCTATATACGAATCTTGGGGTAAGATTTGGACTTGAATTTCGACTAAAAAATCGGTGTCGAGATTTGAATGCCACATTAATCTAGAGGGAAAACCATGAAGAAAACGCCAAATTTCGTGAAAATCGGATGAGATTTGACCGAGTTATGGGGGTGGTAATTTTTGACCCATGTCTATATACGAATCTTGGGGTAAGATTTGGACATGAATTTCGACTAAAAAATCGGTGTTCAGATTTGAATGCCAGATTAATCTAGAGGGGAAACCATGAAGAAAGCGCCAAACTTCGTGAAAATCGGATGGGATTTGGCCCAGTTATAGGGGTGGTCATTTTTGACCCATGTCTATATACGAATCTTGGGGTAAGATTTGGACATGCATTTCGACCAAAAAATCGGTGTCGAGATTTGAATGCCAGATTAATCTAGAGGGAAAACCATGAAGAAAAAGCCAAACTTCGTGAAAATTGGATGAGATTTGACCGAGTTATGGGGGTGGTCATTTTGGACCCATGTCTATATACGAATCTTGGGGTAAGATTTGGACTTGAATTTCGACTAAAAAATCGGTGTCGAGATTTGAATGCCACATTAATCTAGAGGGAAAACCATGAAGAAAAAGCCAAACTTCGTGAAAATCGGATGAGATTTGGCCGAGATATGGGGGTGGTCATTTTTGACCCATGTCTATATACGAATCTTGGGGTAAGATTTGGACTTAAATTTCTACCAAAAAATCGGTGTCGAGATTTGAATGCCAGATTAATCTAGAGGGAAAACCATGAAGAAAAAGCCAAACTTCGTGAAAATCGGATGAGATTTGGCCGCGTTATGGGGGTGGTAATTTTTGACCCATGTCTATATACGAATCTTGGGGTAAGATTTGAACTTGAATTTCGACTAAAAAATCGGTGTCGAGATTTGAATGCCACATTAATCTAGAGGGAAAACCATGAAGAAAACGCCAAACTTCGTGAAAATCGGATGGGATTTGGCCCAGTTATAGGGGTGGTCATTTTTGACCCATGTCTATATACGAATCTTGGGGTAAGATTTGGACATGCATTTCGACCAAAAAATCGGTGTCGAGATTTGAATGCCAGATTAATCTAGAGGGAAAACCATGAAGAAAAAGCCAAACTTCGTGAAAATTGGATGAGATTTGACCGAGTTATGGGGGTGGTCATTTTGGACCCATGTCTATATACGAATCTTGGGGTAAGATTTGGACTTGAATTTCGACTAAAAAATCGGTGTCGAGATTTGAATGCCACATTAATCTAGAGGGAAAACCATGAAGAAAAAGCCAAACTTCGTGAAAATCGGATGAGATTTGGCCGAGATATGGGGGTGGTCATTTTTGACCCATGTCTATATACGAATCTTGGGGTAAGATTTGAACTTGAATTTCGACTAAAAAATCGGTGTCGAGATTTGAATGCCACATTAATCTAGAGGGAAAACCATGAAGAAAACGCCAAACTTCGTGAAAATCGGATGGGATTTGGCCCAGTTATAGGGGTGGTCATTTTTGACCCATGTCTATATACGAATCTTGGGGTAAGATTTGGACATGCATTTCGACCAAAAAATCGGTGTCGAGATTTGAATGCCAGATTAATCTAGAGGGAAAACCATGAAGAAAAAGCCAAACTTCGTGAAAATTGGATGAGATTTGACCGAGTTATGGGGGTGGTCATTTTGGACCCATGTCTATATACGAATCTTGGGGTAAGATTTGGACTTGAATTTCGACTAAAAAATCGGTGTCGAGATTTGAATGCCACATTAATCTAGAGGGAAAACCATGAAGAAAAAGCCAAACTTCGTGAAAATCGGATGAGATTTGGCCGAGATATGGGGGTGGTCATTTTTGACCCATGTCTATATACGAATCTTGGGGTAAGATTTGGACTTAAATTTCTACCAAAAAATCGGTGTCGAGATTTGAATGCCAGATTAATCTAGAGGGAAAACCATGAAGAAAAAGCCAAACTTCGTGAAAATCGGATGAGATTTGGCCGAGTTATGGGGGTGGTAATTTTTGACCCATGTCTATATACGAATCTTGGGGTAAGATTTGAACTTGAATTTCGACTAAAAAATCGGTGTCGAGATTTGAATGCCACATTAATCTAGAGGGAAAACCATGAAGAAAACGCCAAACTTCGTGAAAATCGGATGAGATTTGGCCGAGTTATGGGGGTGGTAATTTTTGACCCATGTCTATATACGAATCTTGGGGTAAGATTTGGACTTGAATTTCGACTAAAAAATCGGTGTCGAGATTTGAATGCCACATTAATCTAGAGGGAAAACCATGAAGAAAACGCCAAATTTCGTGAAAATCGGATGAGATTTGACCGAGTTATGGGGGTGGTAATTTTGGACCCATGTCTATATACGAATCTTGGGGTAAGATTTGGACATGAATTTCGACTAAAAAATCGGTGTTCAGATTTGAATGCCAGATTAATCTAGAGGGAAAACCATGAAGAAAGCGCCAAACTTCGTGAAAATCGGATGGGATTTGGCCCAGTTATGGGGGTGGTCATTTTTGACCCATGTCTATATACGAATCTTGGGGTAAGATTTGGACATGCATTTCGACCATAAAATCGGTGTCGAGATTTGAATGCCACATTAATCTAGAGGGAAAACCATGAAGAAAACGCCAAATTTCGTGAAAATCGGATGAGATTTGACCGAGTTATGGGGGTGGTAATTTTTGACCCATGTCTATGTACGAATCTTGGGGTAAGATTTTGACATGAATTTCGACTAAAAAGTCGGTGTCGAGATTTGAATGCCACATTAATCTAGAGGGAAAACCATGAAGAAAAGGCCAAACTTCGTGAAAATCGGATGGGATTTGGCCGAGATATGGGGGTGGTCATTTTTGACCCATGTCTATATACGAATCTTGTTGCGTGCGTGTTGTGTGCATATTAAATGGTATAATTTTAAAGGCGCTCGCCGGCTAGTCAAAGCCAAGGTGCTTAATGTGGTCCCTTTATATACGATATACCCCTTCGGTCGAAACAGAAATCATACCAATTTAAATTGACTTTTAAACGAATCGTTTTTATTCTGTGCATAAATAGCATTTACTGTCCACGTATGCTTTATTACCGATATTTTAATATGCATAATTTAGTGCATTATATATGAAATTTATAGAATCGTACTCTATTTTATACGCCCTCTATTTACAATGCACTTGTATTAAAAAAATATAACTCAACTCAAAACAATTTAATGGACATTCGCATGCTTTCTATCGCTGGCTGCGCCGTTCGTCTAGCTTGAAAGGCTTATAAACGGCCCGCTTTGGTCCGCAGGTGTACGGACTATTGTAGTCCCTAGTTTGCAATATGTGGCATCTGTAGGAATGGGAACTTTTGTGGGTCGACGCGGGACAAACTTGTGGCTCTGGTTTTGACTTCGGCTTTGGCTTTGGCTGGGGTGATGGTGGTGGCTGTGGCTGCTGACATTCACAAGGAGGCGTTTGCTGGGTTTGCTGGGCACAAGGATTACATTTCGCTACCACCTGATAGAACTGATAGATAATGAACGCAAAAATGGTTTCAACAACTGTAGGAAAAAGGCAGGATGAACAGAGAACTGGCAGAGCATTTCAAATATAGATGTTCCTTACATAAGCCAAGGCACAAAACCAGACTATTGCTGGCAAGGCCTATCTGGAATGTGCTCTCGCTCAGAAAAGCATAAATGATCAGACAGGTCTCCAAAAAAATGCCCCCGCATGAGAAGATAAGCCAATACCGGACCAGATCCGATTTACGCTGCAAAGGAATATATTTATAGGGTCTTGAAATGGAGAAAAGTTGATATTAACTTACCCTATAGATGCCTGTGAAAAGCAGACCAATCAATGTCAGCCAAAACAGACCAAAGCAGACCGCAAATATGGTAAGCCAGCTCAACTGTTAAGTGAAATCTATAAAATACTCGCATACTACGTCAAATGGGGCTTACATGGGTGAAGAACTTGCAGAGACTGAGCGCAGCAAAAAGAACACCGCAGAGCAGATCGAAAACGGCTATGGCATAGGCACAATATAGGAGCGAGTCTTTCTCCAGCTGCATGACGACATTTGTGAGGCTATCTGAGAATAGAGCACCAAAAATGCTTAGCCTACTTTTCAACGGATTTGACAGAAAGGCATAAGTTATATTTGTGGGAGGGTCATTAGACTTGACCCCTACGGAGCTTGCGTTGCAGCTCCTTTAAGGCAGCTTTTTCCTCTCTCTTGTACATCTTCCTAAGACGCTTGCGCTCCCTGCGCTGTGTGTCACTGCTACGGGATGTTTCTTTTTTGTTCCTAGGATTGCAACCACCTTTAAATCTGGGACTAGACAACGGTATCCACTGTTCATGCTCTATCATATCCAAATAGAATATGTAGATAATATACACAAAAGTCATTTCCACAGCTGTAATAGGACATAGCTGTATAACTTATAACTTTGAAAAGCGGTTGGAAAACGGTCTCACCCAAGCCTACAAACGGCATTAGGGTAATCCTAACGCCCTCCCAATTTATTGAGACGGCCAGTGTCAGTCCATAAAGTAGAAGAATCGCATCCAGCATAATGCCCAAGCAGGTGAAGACCAGCCAGTAGCGCACATAGTTTAACTGACGCCGGTAAATGCCCAGTAACAAAATCAAAATAATGCACATCCAAGCAATGGAAAAGATGAGCGCAGCCAGCGACGTCCAGTGACTCTATAGATTGTGGCACTTACTTGGCTGAGCCCCATACTAAAGCGACATGACTTACGTGTTGTGCATATAGCATGCCCGAGATACTCGCAAAGAGCACCGCGGAGATGAGATCCAGTACTGCAATTGTATAGCTGCAAACTACCAAATAGCCATCAGAGGAGCCGTCCATTCTCATCCAGCAAACATTTCAGCTGTAGTTGAAACGTACGGCAAAACTGTGCACTAAATCAAAGCTGTAATGATTATAAGCACGTAGTTTCAATAAGGGGGAAGGCGAGAAGGATTCCATTGCCAACCGTGCTTCTTAATCAATGCCATTTGATTGCCAAGAGCTGAGGAGTCGCAACAGTGTAGCTGAGCTATATAGACCAAAACAAAATATGCTTATATACATATCTAGCAAATATATATGTACTTTCTGAGCTGCAAGCCCCAAAAAGAGAGGTCGTTGGTTCAGTTTTCGGTTAGACCTAACTCACAGTCTTATGATTAGGTACGTTAACCCGGATTTATACATACTTGAACCCGGGTTTTGACTCAAACCTTGGTGTCATGCATTTTATATTTTGCAGAACAATTCCATTTTTGCTACATCCATGCTTTGAGAATGCGCCCTGTTTGTTATGTGAAACCAACCTTCTTCATATACAACCCGGTTGTTTACCACATAATCGTTATATATGAGCTGAGCACATCTTTGGAACAGCATATATATTATTTTACATTCAAATTGACATGTTTCATAACTTAAGCCCACTGTGCATTCGCTGCGCTGATTTGCGCCGAGTCTTCTGGCCATCATTCATTTACGGCATTTGTTTTGTCAGCTGCTGCCTCATGGCCGTTTTGAGATTAGATTTTGCCCCATTGACAACGTGACTCGTCCAAGTAAAAGTTTCCTGATGGACCGACCATGGCAAAATAAAAATAAGAAAAAAGACATCTATCAAATTCAATTATTATTTTTGTGCTGGTAGAAACGAACTGATTTTTGCATTGTGTGTAAATGCCAATCGGAATCTATTATCTTTATATAGGTATACTCGTGCATTTGCCTTTTTGCGTTGAGATGTTGGAGTTCATGCATGTGTAATATGGTTATAATGAACTTGTTCAGAGTATAAAATATATGCTGAGATTTAGTGTCTTATCCGTTTATCCTTATAAGATTCTTTTTCTAAGCTATCGCGCAGCGTTTTCGGCGTATCGACATTTGTCATTATGTTCTAGTAATTCGAAACCTCGACTTCGATTGCTTGAGTATTCAACAATTATTGTCTTGGCTCGTTTCCTATTGCACAAGAAAAGGTTATTCACTATTAAAAGCTTTTTTGCTTACATATATACTTTTTAGACTGTTGAGTCGTAGAATTTCCAGAGGTCGCCTTTTGCTGATCCGAAGGCGCCAGTTCAATCGGGCGATCATTGTTTGGGTGATCCTCATTTTTACTATCGGCAGATAACGTAACTATGTTTAAACAGTATCTGTAGACTATATAAATGCACAGCCATTCAGCAACTGAAAAAGTTTAGTTTTTTTTAAGAACCACATTATAAATAACGCTCTAGTCACCTATGCCGAGATATAGAAGAGTAAACTGTATTATTTGTGCCCATCGTACATATTCGGAGATTGAAATTGTCCACACGAAAAAGAATATGTCAACGATAATCCCAATTATCGAAAAAATCAACCAGCAAATTATTAATCGGAGACGCCGCTATAACTCATGAGAAGGCTTTCAATGATAGAAAGTTTACAAATTAGTTGTCCAGCTAACATACCTTCCAGAGGCCCACAATAAGCAGAATTACCATCAATATCCAAAATATCGATCCCGCGAAGGCAATCATTGAGTAAAGATTTACCTGCGGGTCCAGATAGCTCTAAATAGACATTATATACATCAATTTCAGTGATACAAACATTCAATACCAATAGGCTGGTAGACCGAACCAAAAAGTAAATTGACTGAGCAAAATCGAACAAGGCAATAAAATAACAAATTTGCAATAGACTTATACTAATCGGGGAATCACACTGATCGTCGATTGAGATGTTTTCCGATTGTTGATCTTCCATCTTGAAACCCTTTAATATGTTTATGTATAAAATAGAAATAAATTTTTGTTTTATATTATATATTCAAAATATATTTAATGGGCGCAGGCCATTATGCCTACTAAGATAAACTTAAGTTAACAATGTTGTAGGTTTTGACACTTAGAATCTTAAAAAGAAGAATTAGTTTTATCTCTTATTTTTCTTTTCCGGCTTCTTCTTCTTCTTTTCCTTCTTCTTGCTTTCTATAAATGGTAAATATAGTATGTTTTTTATACATATATAAATTGGGTGATAGAAGAATTATTAATGTTACTCCTACCTTTACAAGCCTTTTTATCAAGCGGCTTCCTTGATTTTTTCTTTCTCCCTCGTTCGGGCTCATCGACCAATCGACAGGGATCCATAACCAAATAGTACCTGTATACCACGTATATACAGGTGATCTCGATAACTAAAAGGAAAATTCCATAAGATATGTAAAACTGTGAAACAGAATCTCACGTACAAATTCCCACAAATATAATGGTAAACTCTTTCAAGTTATCCCAGTCGATTGTTACAGACGACACGATTCCCCAGATCAAAAATCCTATATCCGCGAGAAAGCCAATTATCGAGAAGATAAGCCAGGCTTTAACAAATACAGGACGTCTCTATATGATGTATTATTATTATTGCAGACTTTGATTATCTGAGTTAAATTTAACCATCGAAGCAATTTCTACGCACCTTCCACAGACCCACAAGAAACAGTACCACCATAAGCACCCAAAATATAGTTCCCAGTAGCGCCAATGTTGAGAACATATTGAACTGATTTTAGGACTGTCTTAAAGGCCTCATACATTTAGGCAAATATCTGACTTACTTACTCTCGTGACCAATGAAATGGTCGCTTGGAGAACAAAAAAAAGCGCATGCGCTAGATCGAATATGGCAATGGCAAGACATATTTTCCACAAATGTTCATGTAGGAAATGCGCTAGTCTTAAATTTGTTTGTCCTTTCTTCGATTTTTTCTTTTTGTTTTTACTTGCGGCCATCCTTCAGGGTCAAATAGTGGAATTTTAGTTATATTTATACAGGTGAGTGCTATCACAAAGCACACGAATCTAGTTGTCAAAAAAAAAATAAAACCTTATAAGGCAAAAGACACCGCTTATTACTTATAAGAATTGCATCATTTCATTTAGATTTTTTATAGTATTTGCTTTACAAGAAACTATTTTTGTGCATATTTTAGAAGGCTTAATGAGAAACGGGTGAATTATAAAAGATTAGTCAGATTTGTTCAATAAAATGAAAAATTGTAAAAGCCGCTGAAATTTAAATTTAACATATATACGGAATACGGAACAGTTAACTTAATGTTGACCGTCTTAGCATGATCCAACAGCTGTTTGTTCACTGATGTGGCAACGCTGGCTGTATTATTAGCTACGCTGTAATTAACAACTCTGCACTAATAATATTGTTCGGACCTCCCCTAGTGCAAAGTGAAAATGTGCGGTGAATTTATAAAAAAACGTAATTGAGAAAGTTTAAAATTGTATTTATCGCGTGAAGTATAAGACGCAAGTCGCCCATTGTTGGCGGCACCCAGAGCTATTCCAGAAGCCATATTAGAATTCATAGGTCTTTGTACACAATCTTACGGCAAAGTGAAGCTCGTGTAAATACTTTATTGAGTCCCCACATCCGGAGGTGCAGAAATTGCTAAAGGATCCGGTCATACCAAAGTGTTAACTCACACGCAGCGAGGGCGAGGACTTTATACTAAACACGATGGATGGCAAAGCTATTACACTGCCTAGGACCAAGTTGCCGGCTGGGGTTGATGAGCCAGTGGAAGATGCGGCTAGCACCTCAGCAACAGCAGCGCAGGCAGATCTTTGGTAGGTTTCCCCGTTTAATGTATAATTCATCCTGACAATGCTTTATACTAATTTTATGCTCTGATTGCTGACAGGTGAACACCATCTTAGTGTCAAAATTGGGCGATTGCAATTTGGTTTGCCTGATCCGAAAGGGCCAGAAGGCCCTTCACACACTGGCCTCCCAGGATACAATGGAGATAAGCTATGCGCGCAAGAGTCAGCGGTTCCTTCTGGGCTGGGCTATGGCTAGACATTTTAAAGGCATGGACACCGAAACTGGCCTAATATACATAGCATAGAAGAGCAGGGCTTGCTCTTGCAGTTGGTGTTGTCTACCTGCGATTTAAACTACGACGATGAGCAAGTGCCAGGCCAACCGCGTTTATCGTCCCAGCGGCGCTGGCGGCACAAACGTATGGGATCCAGCTCAATGATACCCTGTACTATTAGCATCGACGCAAGAGAGTTGTTTAGAGAATAATTGTCTGCTTACAGCTTAATTAAAGTATTTCAGTCTGATAATATTGATTTTCTTATCAGATTGGAATTCTCTTTGCAATATAATGCAAAAATATAAACGCGGCTAGAACTTAAATTTTAATATATGTATGTGACGCAAATGCAGTAGTTCATCTAATGTAACATAGCTGCACAGCTGTTTTTCACTAATGTCGGAACGTTTACATGGAGGAGCCGAACTGTAATCAACAGCACTACTCACTGTTAACTAAATGTTGACCGTCTGTAAATTAACATGGGTCAAGCAGCTGTTTTTCACTGATGTGGCAACGCTTGCATGTAGTAGCAGCCGCGCTGTAGTAAACAGCACTTCACTTGTTGTTCGTGCGGCCACCAGTACAGAGTTGATATTGTGCAGTGCATTTATAAAACAAAAATATGCCTATCATCATCAAAACGTAAGTAAAATTTTTTGAAAGTGTAGATATGGCAATACGTTTTAAAACGGTTTAAACAAAGTTACAAAGCTCATGTAGCAAAGTTGCCAGTTTTCGTCAATGTTCGCGCCTTTTTCGTTTCTGCGGTTAGCTTCCCAACACTGCAAACAGCTGTTTCATTAATGAAACAAAGTTTCACCGAAACAATATTTCACAATGGGGCCGCCAAAAAAATCAAAAAAGGACCGTGGTGCGAGCGACAAATTTGGTAAGCGCATCACCAGAGTAACCCGATTACGTGGTAAAACTGATACGACTTCACAGCTAAGAAGCGTCGCGCGGAGGATGAGGCGTTCACCCAGCTGGTGGAAGACAATGACAGCATGGACAACGCCAGTGAGTCGGACGGGGTGCCCGGCGCCGCGTCAAAGAACGCCGAAACCAATGATGAGAACATCAACACAGACGAATACGGTGCAAAAGATTATCGCAGTCAGATGCAACTGCGCCCAGATCACGCCAATCGCCCATTGTGGGTGGCACCCAATGGGCACGTGTTTCTTGAGTCCTTTTCACCGGTCTACAAGCATGCCCATGACTTTCTCATTGCCATCTCGGAGCCAGTCTGCCGGCCGGAACACATTCACGAATACAAACTGACGGCCTATAGCTTGTATGCAGCTGTGTCTGTAGGACTGCAAACACACGACATTGTGGAGTATCTGAAGCGCTTGAGCAAGACCACCATTCCAGAAGGCATATTGGAATTCATACGCCTTTGTACGCTATCGTACGGCAAAGTGAAGCTCGTGCTGAAGCATAACAAATATTTCATTGAGTCCCCACATCCAGAGGTGCTGCAGAAATTGCTTAAGGACCCGGTCATTCAAAAGTGCCGGCTCATACGCAGCGAGGGCGAGGGCTTTATACAAGGCACCATGGATGGTAAAGCTATTACACAGTTTGGCACCAAGTTACCGGCGGGTACTGATAAGCCAGGGGAAGATTCGGCTAGCACCTCAGCAGCAGCAACGGCGGGCGCCGCACCCGCAGAGGGTGCCGCTGCAACTGTTACAGTACCCGAGGACATTACTGACTTCTACGAGAAGATTGACAAGGAAGAGGAGGATGAAGACGAAGCTAATCTGAAAACGGTATCATTTGAGGTATCACAAGAAAAAATTGAGCTAATACAAAAACGCTGCATTGAAATCGAGCATCCGCTGCTGGCAGAGTATGATTTTCGCAATGATACCAACAATCCAGATATCAATATTGATCTGAAGCCAGCAGCCGTTCTGCGTCCATACCAGGAAAAGAGCCTGCGCAAAATGTTTGGCAATGGGCGAGCACGCTCGGGCGTAATTGTACTGCCGTGCGGCGCAGGTAAATCTTTGGTAGGTGTCACCGCTTGTTGTACAGTGCGTAAGCGGGCATTGGTGCTGTGCAACAGTGGCGTGTCAGTGGAACAGTGGAAACAGCAGTTTAAGATGTGGTCCACGGCAGATGACAGCATGATTTGCCGGTTTACATCGGAGGCTAAGGATAAACCCATGGGCTGTGGCATATTAGTTACCACATACTCAATGATTACACACACACAGAAGCGTTCATGGGAGGCGGAACAAACGATGCGCTGGCTGCAGGAGCAGGAATGGGGCATCATGGTGTTGGACGAGGTACACACCATTCCCGCAAAGATGTTCCGCCGTGTTCTCACCATTGTGCAGTCCCACTGCAAGCTTGGCTTAACGGCTACGCTGCTGCGTGAGGACGACAAAATTGCGGACCTTAATTTTTTAATTGGTCCCAAGCTGTACGAGGCAAACTGGCTAGAGCTCCAAAAGAAGGGCTACATAGCACGCGTGCAGTGTGCCGAGGTATGGTGTCCCATGTCACCGGAGTTCTATCGTGAATATCTAACCACCAAGACGTCTAAGAAAATGCTGCTCTATGTGATGAACCCCTCAAAGTTTCGCAGCTGCCAATTTCTAATAAAATACCATGAAAAACGTGGCGACAAGACTATTGTCTTCTCTGACAATGTGTTTGCCTTGAAACACTATGCCATCAAGATGAACAAGCCGTTCATCTATGGACCCACATCCCAGAATGAACGTATACAAATCCTACAGAATTTCAAGTTTAATGCCAAGGTATGTGAATAATGAATGCATCAGGACAAAACTGTACGCTCATTTTATAATCTGTTTGGTGATAGGTCAACACCATATTTGTGTCCAAAGTGGCCGATACCAGTTTTGATCTGCCCGAGGCGAATGTGCTCATTCAAATTTCGTCGCATGGCGGCTCACGTCGCCAAGAGGCACAGCGCTTGGGTCGCATTCTACGCGCCAAAAAGGGTGCCATTGCCGAGGAATACAATGCATTCTTTTACACGCTCGTTTCCCAGGATACAATGGAGATGAGCTATTCTCGCAAGCGTCAGCGTTTCCTTGTGAATCAGGGCTATAGCTACAAGGTTATAACACATCTTAAAGGCATGGACACCGAAACTGACCTAATGTACGGAACACAGGAAGAGCAGGGCCAGCTCTTGCAGCTGGTGTTATCTGCCTCCGATTTAGACTGCGAAGATGAAAAAGTGCCAGGCGAACCGGGCTATCGTCCCAGCGGTGCTGGTGGCACGACAAGACGTATGGGCGGCCTCAGCTCAATGTCAGGTGGTGATGATGCCATCTACTACGAGCATCGGCGCAAGAACGTCGGCAGCGTGCATCCTTTGTTTAAGAAATTCAGAGGATAATTGACTGTTTACAGCTTAATAAAAGTGTTTCATTTTAATTATATCGTGTTTCTTTAAATTCTCAACTTGGAATTCTCTATTTCTTGACTAAAAACGATCTTATAACGTCTAATTGAAATTCTTTGTTTTAGTTCTAGTGCTGGCGCTGGCGAATGGGCCATCATTGAACTGCAGGGTGATCTGGAGGTGCGCAGCAATCAAAGCATGCACGATCAGTTCATAGGTGATCTGTACTACAACAAATATGGCCAGCCTGTAGGTTAAAGTAGTTTTAAAAATAATATATGCAATGATGATTTCATCTTTTGCTGATGACTTTCAGATTCTAATCATAGGCCATCATATACTGCAAGGACGCGAGCAGAAGCTGGACAAACCGTTTGCAGTGCTGGAAAAATCAAAGACTAATGAAGGGCAGCAGCTGCTTAATATAACAAATGCAACGTTAGAAGCAAGCGCCTTGAATGCCACCGCAGGAGCCGAACGTACTCTACTGGATGATACAGTAGCACTGGAGCACAAGAGTCGTCAACGAACCGAGTATACGGTGCGTGCCATATGCACAAAGAAGCTAATTTTCAAATCGCGACCCAAACCAATTATAGCCAATGTGGCGAAAACAGTTTGAGCATGGATCAATATATATATATTTATTTAGTTGTATAAATCATTTTTGTGAAATATAAATGTAAGTATTATACGATTTCCATTTCTCGTTCGATGCCAACAAATTTGAGCTGCTCAGTTGGCCCGTATCTGTAGTCAAAGAAGAGTTCTTCTCCTGGCTGTATTGCCCGCTTAGCGAAGATTCCGATACGATGATCGCCAGTGACCATCATGACCTTGGCATAGCAATTGGGATTGATCGAATGATTGGCAAATCGAATTTTGTTGCCTTTGCGTGTGGCATCCACAACAAAGTCGTTGTTCAAATTAAACAAAAATGAACACATGTATTTGTCATACACCTTGCCACGACGATCGGCCTCGTCCTGCGAGATTATCTCGCCGCAGTACTCCGATATGAACTCATTTTTCTGTGCTCCCTCCTTAAGAAAAATGCCCCAACCGGCAATGTCCGAGGGCGCCATCAGCAAATGTTTATCTGCAGGGACCGAAGTTAAGCAAAATTGGAATGGTGACTGTAACGACAAGCTACTTACGCAATCCACGCTGCACGCAAACATTCTTGCAAGTGATTTTGGTCAGCTTAAATTGATCGGCACCGCAAGCTTGACACAAATCAGGATCGCACTCTCGTACAGCCAAATAGCAAGGGCATTGCTTGGTGTTGCACTGAGCCTTACAACGACAGCCTGGGAAACGATTCTGGCAATCGCTGCTGCAGTTGCAGAACTTCTCGCAAAAGTTCTGCGTCTGTATGCAGGAGCAATTCATGTCGCAGGGACCGGCGTGGTCGCAGGGTGTGTAATTGTACACGTGATTCGATGACGAGTCCTTCTTCAGCTGTATCTTGCGGCAATGCAGCGACCATAGGCGCTGCTTTTTCTTCTTCTTCCGCGGTGGAGTAAAGTCCTGACGCAGATCCTCAAAACTAAACTCAGCGGCCTCCTTCTGCGCAAACTCGTACACCTGGCGGCAGGTTTTCGTAAGCATATTATGTGCAATTGCACAATAATTCTTTAAATACACCTTGTGTAGCACTCTAAAGAGCGCCTGATCGGCGCCAGTCCATACGCACTGCGTGCTGGTGATGTTCATCATGCCAGCTGGATAAAAAAGATATGTTAGAGTAAGCAAACTTCGAAATGAGCATTCGATTAGCGAAATGTATTTAATTTACCCATAATAGAGTTAATCTCCGCGCTATTGACAGCTATGCCATTATCCTTGCCGTTATCGGGGTTGAAATCCTTGTTGCTAAACTGGCTATTGCTATCATTACTGTCCTCGGAGCTGGCCTCGTTGCAGGAATCGATTGGCGGCGTTTTGCTATCAGCTGCTAGCTTCTCCTTCATGCCATCCTGTTAGCAAGACAATAATATTTACTTAAATGGTGAACATCATTAAAATTTACAACTCACAATTAACATGTAACAGGAATTGCTGCAGGGCTCCACAAAGGTCTTCAATTCCGGATAGCGACGCTTTTGCAGATTTGGACCAGCGTGTCCCTGCAAACCTGTGAATCGAAAATGTAAATTTTAGCACAACTGGAATCAGGTCGTATCTAGAGGACATGACTATGAGACGCTTGGGGTTAGAGCATGAAACAGATACGTTACATAACGAAGGATGCAAAAGCCGCATGAAATGAGGCGAGAAACACCAAGAAAATTTTGATACAAGACATTTTTGCCGATTTCCACAGACATAAATTATATATATATATATAGGAAAGATTGATGATGATGTGGAGCAAGGCGACATTTGGGCCTAGGCGGCATGAGTGTGTGTGCGTGTGGTTATCGAAAACAACAACTACAACAACGACTCACCCTGTACATGGTGACCTAAATTGCAGTTATTTTTTTTTTTTACAAAATTTTAAGAGGTTGTTTAGACAAAAGAAATGTTTTGCAACAATTTTTGTTTGTTTTCCAAATAAAGAGAAAAAGCAAAACAAAAGGTTATTAAGAGCAACCCGACTGGAGGCGAAGCACAAAGATTCCACTTACGATGCAGGAAACAATCATATTTAAAGCAGCGTCGGCAGAACAATGTGTGGAACGAGTGCATAGTCCGCTCGCGTGAAACGCTCTCCGCCTTGGTGCCATCGATGTTAGGCGTGCATTCCTGTGGACGCTCGGGATCCTGATGTTCGGTAAGCTCGATGTACCTGAATGGAAGAACGTTTAACATACAATTGCAAAGCTGTAAACACAACACACTTCTCCTTTAGCTCCTGGGGAGTGCCCTTGTCCGGAAAGTTGGCGCTGATTGCCTGAAATATGATAGGTGCTGGAAACGGTAGCTTCTCCTTAACTTTCTCTACTTTGCACTTTGTGTCTGCGATAACTTCAGCAGGCGCAGCCTCCTTGTCTTCAGCAACAGGCGAAGAAGCCGCTGCCGCTGGCTCTAACGATGTCGTGGTCTCTGTTTTCTCATCTTCCTCCTTTAATTTTGGTGCGGTTGGTGTTTCCGTTTTGGCAGATGGACTCGTCACTGTTTCCTCCAACTCCTTACTATGCGAACGCATCAAGGCATGTACCAGCTCCACAAATATGGCATCATCCATGAAGGATGGATCCTTGTCGCCGTGCACCTTGCCATCGTAGTTCTTGATCAGCTCTTCTATGAACTTGCCATCCTTGTCAAGCACCTCATCACCCATATATGGAATGTTGTGCAGCACAGTCTCATCCTCGACCATAAAATTTTGCTGAGTGGGCGCCCATGTATACATTGTAGGGATGGGCGTGACGGCGTTGATCACACAAATGGGCACACGCTGCGGGCCACTGTTGGAGCCATTATAGCTGGTAACCTCAGCTCGTTTCACACAGTCAACGTGCGGTGGATCATACGGTTTTGCCTGCCACACTTTCGATTCGCAGTACAAATCCTGTACATTGTGGTTGTGCTCATCCCTGAATGAAGTAAAGCGCAAAGCAATTAAATGGACGCTAAGTGACACGTTATGCCGCAAAGCTTGTTTACCAGTTTTTAATCCACGCTTCCTTAATTTCATCAGCACGTTTGTAGCGCTTTTGCTGGCGTATCTTCATGTACTCCAACTTGACCAAGCGTTTCCATTCTTTGCTGCTCATATTTAATCAAGATATTTTTTCAGCAAATTATTTCTGGCGGACTCGGTTAGTGTTTGTTAACGTATTTGTTAGCGAAGTGTTGCGATATGATAAAATGTAGTGTTAGGAAAGAACAAAAAACAGCTGCTGGTTGTTTACCTAGCCGCATTTCAATATTACGTTTAGTATATAGTATTTATTTTTTGGGTATTAATATTTGGCATTATTTAAGATCAACCTCAACACAAAAACAAATCAAATGTGAAATCTTATCAAATTAAGGGAAAAAAATTACACAAATAAGCTGGACAATTTCAAACACATCAAATCAGCCACGAGCATCGAGGAAATTGGCGCGATGGAACCATCAGCTTGCGAAGATTTGAAGGCATTCGAACGGCGTCTTACCGAAGTGGTTTCATCGTACAGGCCATCCACGTTCCGCTGGCGCAGTAAGAACAATTCATTCCTTGTCAAACTAAGCGCATTTACGACCTAATCAAATTACCTCTAATAGTTATACTATCTGCATTATCGGTATGCACGGCTATCAGTGCCTGGTACTGGCTGAGAGATCCACGTACGACCGTTGTGCCGCTGACGGAATCGCTCTGGATACACCCCATCTTCACTGTGGCCACAGTCACATTGATAGTGCTCTTCATTTTGGGCATACAGAAGCTAGTTGTGGCGCCGTCGATAATCACGTCGCGCACACGAACGGTGCTCACAGATTTTGCCCTCGACCTGGAGCCACACACTGGAAAGTTAATATTAAAGCCTCGTCAATGTAATAACAACGGCAACACATGAAGCTGTATACGGATATTAATTTCATTTTGCCTTGCCCTGCTAATACAATGACTATGATGCATACTTCCAAGATGATAGCTTTTTCGCATCCAAAAACCTAGTTTAATTCATACATCAAACTTAATTGTTTAAGTACGCTTCATTCGGTTAAATTATATAAAAAAAGCTCCATTGTACATATACTTGTTCGAGCTCTTATTTATTTCTGCAATCAACTCAAACAAAATTCAATATATATCATTTCGGGACCCTGGAACGAAGAATCAAACAACTGACAGGTTGCAGCTTAACATAATGAAGTTAGCCAAAATTGATAATGAAAAGTATGTAAGCCCAAGCTGGTAAGTATTGCCTAATTTTGTCAAACATATTACGATATAAATTCAATAATTATTTAATGTTCACTCAAAATACTTATGGATCTAGACAGTTATCACGATTATTGCTCGCTGGAATCGTTCATTGTCTTCTGAACTTTAACAAGTGAAAATTGGGAAAGTTATGCAAATGATAAGTGCCGCTTAATGATTCGCCTACATGGGAGGTCGGTGGGGTTCAACCTTTTACGGCGCGTCTCAGTAGTGGAGTCTTCCAGAGCCCTGGCGACCGTATTGGGCAATTTGTTGGCGTTACAGTTTCTGAAAAACTTAATTTGATATCCAACCCTTTATAAGCCTCTCCGCTCTTGTCGACGCCGAAATACTAGCCCAAAGGAGAGCATATCATGCGTGTATAGGGTATAGAGATCCGGGGCAAGCCTTGCGAAACGCCAGCTATGATAGTCTACTGCCGTTTTTTTTATCTTGACTACAATGAAGCAAGAGCTGAGGATGTTGGAGTATGGTACTGGGAGATGAGATTTCAGATTGAAGAGAAGATCCTTGATCCGGACCTTATAGAATGCCTGCTCGATGCGCAACCGCCTGGAATCTGTACCTTAGAGCACGGTCGACCGCTCGATGCGGGGCCGCGTGACTTTCGAGAAGCAATCATGTGATACATAAATCCCAATTGCACATTAGCTCCGGAGCATTAATTATCTTTGCAAATTATTTACCTAATTAAAGTTACACTTGTTCAGTTAATGAAAAAACCGAGTTACTTTTGTGAGTTCGTAATTCCAGGTGTTTCGATAATAAAAACCATATATAAATACAGACCCCCGGGTACTGCAAAGTTACATAAGCCTCGCAGCCATCACCCAAACCCAATGATGAAGATTTTCTTTCTGATCGTTATCCTCCTGGGTGTTGTTTTCAGCATGTCAGCAGGCAAGATGAAATTAATCGAATAATTTTTGTAGCTCTTACCATTGAAGTAATCAAATTGTAGCTGAAACTGACTCCACTTGGATGCCGACAACCACAAGCCCAGAAGGAGCAAGGATCGTGCGCAGCGCAGCCGTTGAAGAAGTCGAACAAGAGCACGAAAAGGATGAGCCAAAAGGTTGTTGCGGCTAAACAGCACATCATTGGCATGGTGATGGTGTTGCAGGATACACAACATGCCACGTATTATCAATAAAAAAGCAATATTTTGAAAATCCATATGCATGTACTTTTAATATTCGACAGCAGGCTTACAGGTTGATTTTATGAATTCGCATATTTTATTTGAGCTTAAGGATGGGACATAAATATTTCGTACGAAAATTCGGGCTTATGGGACTTCTCAAATTTGCTTCTTATATTTTTGTATAAGAAATTCATTCTTATAAGAATAAAGTGTATTGTTGCTTCTTCTTGTAAGAGGAATATATATTCCATATTTTTAAAGCGATAAAGGATTTTCTTTACGCCCATTAACGTTGACTTAAGTTTTATGAAAATTGTAAGCAAACACGTAAAGTGTTGTATGACGCAGGGCCTCGTCTTTCCTTAGCCCCACTCTATGAGGAATGCATTCTTTGGCATAAATATTTTTTGCCGATATCAGTAAAGTTTTGTATAGACGTATATCAGATGTATGTATGTTCGTAAAAACAAGAAAGAATTTCTATACATTTTTTCCCTAATAGCAAATGTCCAATTTCACAGGTTTTCGAGAGAGATTTTAAGCCTTAAGCACATGCTCACTTAAGTCAAAAGTTAACTACAATATGAAAAAAAATAATAGCAAATCTTGATTTGAAACTGAAGAGTTTATATATCTTCCTTATCATTCAATCAATACTTTTGAAGAAGTACATATATAGGTGCCTTTATATGTACGTGAATATCCGATCTGTACATATAATCAAGGCTACAAGGAACCGTCTTAAACTCAGCATATAATATAAACTTTAAGCAAAATCTGGATGCTGGATCGGAATCATATAGTATAATATTAACACAAACTGAATAGTAAGGTTAAAACTGTATATATATATATTAACAACCAAGGCTTGCGACTTTAATGTGGAAGACTTTATTTAAGAACTGAACGTAAGGGCTGGGCCATAGCTTCAACTGGGAAAATCCACCGAACGTTTACACAATTCATTATACTTATATTGCATATTTGCAAGGGCATAAAACAAAACAAAATTTGTCAACTGTTTTGTTAATGAATGCATGTGATTAGTTGCTTATTACTAACGCCAAGTGTTTGTTGCCAAAAGGGCTTATTGGGAAATCGTTATGTGATCGCGGACAACAAGTATAAATACTTACTGTCGCCCACTGAAAACAACAGAAGTCACTTGACCGCCATCCAAGCTCAATCATGAAGATATTCTTTCTGCTTGTACTCGTCCTGGCTGTTGTTTTCAGCATGTCAGCAGGCAAGTTAAAATTCATCGAATAAGTTTGCAGTTCCAACCAGTCAACTATTCGAATTTCAGCTGAAACAGCACCTCCGGCCCATCATGGACATCCGAAGTTCGTGCGCAGCGTAGCCGTCGACCCACTCAATCAGGGTCAAAATAAGGATGATCTGAAGGCCTGTTGCGGCTAAGCAGCTTGCCAGCGATGTGGTACGGCTCCTTGGGAATGGGCAGCAAAGCGTTCTCAAAATAAAGAATATTATTTAAAAATCAATATGAACAGACTCTTAAATTGGGCCGGTCGTTTGGCTTTGCCACTGGACATCCATGTATTGTAATTTTAGGGTCTTTCCTTCAGCAAGTTATGGTACAATGATTCTCATGAGCTCTCAAATTTGTTGAATAAACAAATTTTAAATCGACATAATAATTTTTAAACATAGCACATGGTGATTCTTAGGGAACATCCTCCTCGTCCTTAAATATATTTGAATGAACTAATATTTATCACCAGGTGTCTATGGCTCCGACGTGATATACCTAGCCCCATAGGGGATGCGACAGTATTGCCAAGTTTGACGCCCTTTTATAGGTGGTTAGTGTACTCTACATACCATGCTTGACGTGGAGTTGCGTATCAACCGGGTGCCATAACCACAGACCAGCAGAGGCTTAGGATGGGCCTCAACCCTCATTGCCAATCGAAGAACGAGATCTACAGAAATAATTCATAGGCGTCATTAGATAATCAAATTAGAGTTCTATCATATTCAGCGAGGTGAGAAAGCAACTAATAATTCATTTTGCGCAATAACTATTTATTCTAGATACTCATCAACATGTGTTTATTGTTGTGGCATTAACTCCTATCGCACATAAATCGAATTATTTAGTCTGTGTTTTCAGTTTATTTTTGTTTCGCTTGCTTGATTGATTGATTTTGTTCGTTTAAATACAAGCTTTATAAATTTCTTTGTGTAAGTCTTAAAATATTATTGCGCAGCATTCTTTTATAATCATACAAAGGTTCGGTTTAATATGTTTATCAAATCTTTAGTTCAGAGTGAAAATATAAATGCATCTGCGTTCTTACTGTTTGATGGTTCAGTTTTTGTTCAGGCCATTTTAGTTGGTATGTATTGTTTTTGTTTTTGTTTTAAGTTTTATAATTAATTGTAATTTATATCATGTACAAAAAAATATGCTAAATTTTATTTAAAAATGTATTTAAATTTATAATCTCTGGTTAGTAGTTGAAATTGGAATTTAGGATATTCATTTCCATCATATTATACTTTGCGCTAATTTGTTTTGTTAATCAATTTGTAATAGGTTTGTTCATTACTTAATATTAGTGCTAGATTATGAACTAAATATTGTTTTGTTGCTGGTTGTTTTTGATATATATTTGCATGTTTACTTCACAAGGAGGCGCCAAACAAGAGAACAAAATATGATTACAAATTACAAATTAATACGACAAATATTGGAAATGCATAAATAAAACTAAATGCTGCCTCCTTTCTGCACAACATTCACACAATTTAAACATAATAATTCTATATATATATATATACTCGTAGTAGAAGCCTATTAATTACATAAATTAAAAACCGTTTAAATCTTTAAACAAAGTTAACGTTACAAATTTTACACATAAACAAAACGATTTGGCTTGCTCCACGCCGGACTCTGCCATTATGCGGCTAACATATTGCGTATGTTCTTCGGCGTGTTTTCCTCGTTTAGATGCTTCGTCGTGTAGCGCAGGGCGTTCAGCAGGGGTTCCGCCTTTATCGCCGGCTGTGCCTGCAGTAGCCGCACACAGCCCTTCACGTCCACGTGGGCACCGCGCGCAAATGCTCCCACAGGATGGACATGATCGTAGAGTATGACCAGTCCGACCATAACGCGCAGCACCAGCATTTGCGTCTCCTCCCGTTCGATCTGCTGCAGCAGTTTACTGGAAAGTCAAGTAAGTCTTTGAATAATTGTGTTTCTTGTAAATGTTATCATTTGGGAGCCACTCACGGATTCTCCAGCATTCGCAGGCACACTTTGGCCATTGTACCAAGAGTTTCTGTTGTATTTTGCACATCATCCGCATTATCATTCACAAATTTTGATGTCGCCTCGCTGAGCACCTTTAGCATGGGCGTGGCATGCGCATAGAATAATGACATACGATTCGCCAGCTCCGTGCTGACCAGCATGTTTTCCGTGGAGTCCACGCGCTGTCGACTGACAATGCGCCTGTAGTAGCTGAAGTCGTTCTGTATGGCGGGTGTTTTCATCTAAATGTTGCAATATAAAGCAAAAATGATGTAAGTCTATTGAAACTTATTTATTTATTTTTAATAGATGTGTACTGTATCAATGAAACAAAACTAATCAAATTTTCTGGGCAGAGACCATCTCGGAGTAAACCAAGGCTTGGGATGCATCGATTGTGCCTGTACAGAAATGAGCCCAAGATAACTTCTCTGCGGGAGTTCGGCCCTTGGTAAGTGTGAAGTCGATAAGCAGTGCACTGCTTGGTAGATTACATTTGCATGTAGAACAGTTTACTGCTTACGAAATCTATTTGAACTGCTTTGCTAGCCACTTTAATAGACGCTACATTTATCTCTAATTGCAGTACGTGACATCGCAATTGGTCTTAATTTTTTGTAATTTTCAGCCAGGCCCAAAACTCAGCTTTCGAGTCGGATAACGCGAATACATTTCAGAGTCTATTTAACTGTCAGGGCTGCACTGGAGTCGTGCGTGCGATATACTTCTGAGAGCTGCCGCCCCAACGGCCGACGAGTGTCTCATCATTTACCTTGAGGGAGCGCTTGAAACATGACAGCGCTTTATATATATTATATGTGAACAAAACTTAATATAAATACGTTATTAGCATAAATCGTTCTAACAGTAAGTAACAATGCGGCAAACAACACGGAACAACAGCGGCTTCAGAGGCTGTAAGTGGGTGAGTTTTGTTTTCATTTCATTTGTTGCTATTATTAAACACACAGATGATTAATTTGTTGTTATGTAACTTAATATTTTAGCTAGTTTTGTTGTTGTTAGTAGCGCCACATTCAACAGCCGCCCAATATGCGTCATCGGCCTATAACGGTCGGTTTGTTGGCTTTAATCAGCAACAGGCCCAGCAGCCTCTTTGGAGTGGCTATCCGGACGCACCACTGACCTATACTCGGACTTATCCTGCTGCGGTGCAGTCCGTGTGGTCCGGTGCGCCAATTGTTGTAGAGGATGGAGCGAATGGCCTGGAGCAGGAACGTCAGCAGCAGCAACGGCGGTATTTGCCCATTAATTACGACAACAATAGAGATACCTATGCCAATGTGGAGTCGGACAGGAGGAGCCGCAATTGGCTCAACAGCAACAACAACATCAATAACGTGCCGCCCACACGCGCTGCCAATCACAATTACAACAATGACCACTATTACTACACACAGCCGCAGATCCAGCCAGAACTGGAGCAACGTGAGCTGCTCGCCGTGGCTGATTCCCGACGCGGGGAGGACCAAATCGTTCGCATCGGCGGCAGTCGCTCTCTGGCCAACAACAACAACTACGAATACTATGAGCCGGCTCAGCCACTTGGACACCGCGAGTTTAAGGCGAAATATGAGAAACATTACTCGGACTACTTGCGTAAATATCCGCAAAGATTGTTGCCATTTTATAGCACATTTGTTGACAAGTGATCCGCAACTGGGTCAACAAATCGAAATAAATTCCTGTGTCAACTGAATACATCCCGAATGTGCCAAAAACTTGCAACACCATTTTCTTTCTGGGCATGTGCCAAGAATCTTTATAATTGTGACCAGTCAAAAAATTACAGTGAAAGCAAAACTAAAATACTAACTTTTATATTGTACAGAAAAATACTCTAATATTCGAATATAAACATATATGTAAAAATTTATCTACATACAGATATCTCACGTAAAAGGAAAACAATTCGAGCCGTGTTTGCTTGCGAGAGTCACCACTGTAGCTGAACAGTCGACGCTTAATCTGGTTAACGAATTCAGTCAATAACATTTGTAGCATACTTTGAGGCACACTCTAAAATGGGAAAGGGAACACCCCGGGCAACAATAGTGTGCGGACAACGCGGCAATTGCCTAGAAACGGAAGTGCCTTTTACTGTTAGTTGGCAAGGCACGTTTGCATCCTACATATAAGTATATAAAGTGCATGTGCATGTGCATGTGCATGTGTATGTGGCTGTGTATGTGCGTGTGTATTTCCGAAATGACACTTAAACACACAACGACACCGTCATCATTCTCAACATCATCATCATTATCAACTTCAGCATAAAAGTTGCACACGAGAGAGAATTGCCCTCTGTCAAACTGCACTGCCGCACAACCTCCTCCCCTCACCTCCCGCCTGTGATCCACAACAACCGCATTCGATTCGATTTCATAAAAGTTTTACAAAACGGAAACGAGCCATGGAAAAACGCGCATACACAGATTTGCCAGTGCTTCAATCGATTTCTGTTTGGTCCTCACAATAAAAGGCCCACATTTATATGTCAATGGAAGAAGGGAAAGAGACAGAGCTATCTGATCCTACGAGTTACAAGTTTGGCACACATTGAGCCATAGTGGTCAATGGTTATGTGCTTCTATAGATTAAAAAGTTCATCATGGATTTGTGCTGGTGTATGTAGCAGGCACAAGGAGGCATCCAATCGATCTAGTTATGCCAGCCTGTCTCAACTATTATACTTTTATGGATAGATTTTCAATTATATATTACGATGCCATTTTAAAGTCATGAAAATTTCAAAAAGATCGGACTTTAAGCGCCGAATTAATTCAAATAGTTGCAGCATAAAGTTCCAGACTATCTCCGCGTCGGTTATTTTTGATCAGACTATTCTTAACTTGTTTTGTTTTATTTTTTATCAGCTTAAATTATTTTCAACATGCTGTTTATTCCGAGTCTACGTCAAATGCGATCTATCTAAGGGCTTGAGAGATGTGTTCTCTTCCTCTTCACGCTGCAACAGAGTATACTTCGTTCCGCTTTGCGTGCTCACTGAAGAGCCGACAGTTGGCCAGGCCGTTTAAACGAGTGCGTGCAGCCAAATGAGGCTTCACTGTAGAGCGCAAGATATTTCATCAATGGGCAGCAGCACGCGCTCGCCTCAACTGACAGACAGCCAGTTGGACGGATGGACAGATGGACGGATGGACGGATAAACTGGCAGTCAATTAAAAATGCAACCACGCGCGCAATGAGTTGGCAGCTTGGCTTAGACTTCAACTGGCTGTTGCACCCACATAAGGAAAACGAAATGACAACAAACCAACTGGTTGTCTGGTCTGGTTGGCCTGGTCTTAAAGAAGACATAACTCTGTTGACCCACGCGCCTTGAAACAGCGCCAAGTCCAGTGAGCGTTACTCGTGCCCAAATCAGGCAAAAGTTGTAACAGACACGCACGCGAATACACACACAGACACGTGGGGCTACTCACCTTGTACTCATCGAATTTCAACACAAATTCCAGTATCTCGGCCAGCTGCTTGACCAGCGCCTGCTGTGTCTCCAGGTGCTGCGTCGGATTCAGCTTGCCGCCAACCAATTGGCCCAGCAGCTTGGGCACTATTTTGTCCAGCTCCAGGGAGTGCTCGTAGCAGCGTTTCAGCTTTATGACCAGCGGCAGCACGGCGGACCACGCTTTGCCCTGCACCTCGGGCGAGGGATCGGCGATGGCTTCGCGTATTTCTTTGTTGGCGCCCTGCAAAAGTGAACAACATTTTATTTCAATATTTCTCTTTTCATCCAATATCAGTTGCGTCCGTAAAGCTCGGTCCGTAAAATGTTCGCTTGACATGCAAACAATAGGCGAATAGGCGAATAAACGATTTTCCTCGCCTTTTATAGATTTTATTTTTTTTTTTATATTCATTCATTCGGGCATTTGTTTTATTACAACAACTGCAGAGCAGCAACAACATAGTTTGGTTTGTTGTTGCTTTTATTCTATTATTCCTACGCCACATGCAACAATGACGGCGCCGTCGCTGCCAACGCTGCGTGTTGCGGCTAGCACTGCGATTTTTATCGACGCTTTATGATCTAAATTCTGAAAAAAAAAACAAACATAAAACAAACGACTATCATAAGGCCTAACGAACGCTCGGCCATTGCATGTTTTCAAAAGTTGATTTTGCGTCCGCTTTTTATGTTTCTCCGCCGCATAACATAGGCAATCAGCAAATGGCGTTGATTATATCAATTGTTGCGTTTCAGTTTCTCTAACAATCGACACATGTATTTTCCAGTGCCGCAAACAGCACTAAATTTGCCATTTAAAATGAAAACATCGACCTGGCTAGTCGCTGGTAAATGATGCGAGTGAATGACTTTTGTGCTTACACCAAAGTTCAATATCTTTACGATTTTCAGTTGAAGTAATACATATATTGACTCCTCTGTTCTTCCTCTTCTGTCTTAAGCACTTTATGCTTTATTTCATCTCAGGTTGAGATCACAATATATAGTATATTGTTTTGGGATTTAGTCATTAACTATCAACCTGGCATGGTTCATTGACAAGGACACAACTACACTCTTAAACACTTTCCTGGTATTCGAGCCCTGATTCTTAATACTTACTTACTTACTTCACAAGTCTTCTAATTTGCCTGCACATACATATGTATATATATTTCAAGTAAGCAACTAACTCTTCGTTTTGCAACACTGCAAAGTACAAAATAGCTCAGTGGCAACCAGTATCCGAAAGTCTTAAAAGTTTTACGCGCCAACATTTAAGGCGCGCTTGATTCACCCTCAATGCCACGCCCACTAATTGAAACGTTTGCCAAGATTTCGTGTCTGACCTCTTAAAGGGAACTTGGTACACATTTTAAAGAATTTGTATAAAAGCAACCCTCAATTCACATTTACCCTACCCAATTTACAGGTGTATCCCCAGTGTGATGTTATTTTTGATTTTCGCACCTTTCGCCATTTTGTGCTGTATTGAAATGGGCTCAGGTAAGCGCACATGTTGTGTGTTTATAATTTAATTGCTGCACATATCAACAACAAGAAGCTGTGGCAGCCACCCTCAGACGCCCTCACACTATTTTGTTTATTCGTTGCAAGCCCATCGACGAGTGCTTGGGCATAATCAAAATACGACTGTGTGCATCTAAATAAACACATGAGGCCAAGTGAAGCGTGAATCTGGAGCTGGTACTTTGTAGCTGTAGCTACCTTGGTGCACGTCTTTGTGCTCCACAACATTTACACCTGTCCATGAAGGCAACAGCCATGTCCTTGGCCAGCGGCAGCGGCAGCAGCAGTTGCTGCTGCACTTGAAGTTTCACAAATGCTTAACGCGTACAAACAAGTCAACAAACAAAGAGAGAAAGAGAGAGAGAGAACGAGAGAGAGAGAGAATGGACAGAGAGGTGCGCATTCTTTTGACTTTGCCTTTGTATTGTCTCGTTTATGCCAGAGACACTCTAAGGACTTTATAGCTGGCCAACGAACGGAAACTGCGCTCCTGCTGCTGCTGTGTGGGCAGACAGATTCACAGGCTGAGATTGTGCCTTCACTGCATTCATGGGTGCATTGCTTATGTGTGTGTGCGTGTGTATATGTGTGTGGGTGTCTGATTCAGCCGCTTCGCTTATTTTTCAAGCATTTATCTCACATCGCGACATGTGCACGTCGAAAACAAAGAGCCTAGCATAGGTGGAGTTTCTGCTGCTGATGTTCCAAGGCAGCATCTTGTGTTTTGTCACAGGAAACGGTACTCCCCTCTCTCTCTCTCTCACACACACACACACTCCTTCACTCATTCAACATTTGTTGATTCATCGCCTTTTTCTGCAGCATCGCATAAAACGTTACATGCTCCAATAACAAAGCACGTGCTGTGTCTGCTTCATGCATTTTACCAAGAAATCTTCACACTTCGCCCACAACAACAACAATAAACTTGAACTTGCATGACTTTAATGCTGCTGCGGTAAAAACAGTATTCGTTTTGTAACTGTTTCTAGTTTTTTAATTAACACTTAATGAGCCCAACTTAATGCTGCTTGGCGTTCTAGCATAGAAGAGCTCAATTCATCTAACACAGACGAAAGAGAGTGAGACATAGAACTAGGGAGACGGGCGTCGCATAGTTAATTAACTTTGCGATTTGCAGCACTCTGCATAGAAGAAGTAAACGCCTTGTTAATGTTGTGAGGGCCTGCTGCCGTTTTAATTGTAAATTAAATTACACTCAACGCGGAAACAAGTGTTGGTCTTCTGCGGTAGCTTTGATGTCCGCCAGGGATGACACTCGCTGGTGTCGCTTTACGTTTGCATGCGGCCACTTAACACTTCAAAATGTATCGATTATTGCACTCGATAATTATAGTTAAGAGCCAATGACAGTGGCGTAATCGGCGCATCAAACCGTTTGCTTGACGACTGTTTATCGACAACTTGGGCTGCTCGCCTGGCAAGTGGCCGACTTTAAATTACCCTGCACTCAACTCCGCAACATATGGTGAGTTAACCCAAATGTAAAATATTATTGTCTGCATACAATGTGTAACAGAACATATTGTAGACAGCTTTCAAGATCTCTGTGACATATTTAAATTAAAAATTATTTTTCTATTTGCAGCTACTGGAAGGATGATTTCATTAAGATGGGCAGATACTTATGTACATGCCGACTGGATAGTTCCCCACAGTGTTTCTTCAGGATTCACAATGGCGATTCCGAGAGGCTTCCTTTTGCCCGCTACATTCATTTGCATAAATTCAATATACTCTTTCTTATCAGTTGTAATGGGTATAGTGTATAACAACGAAGCAGTTCAAGTGAGTGCAGTTACAGGAAAGTGTGGGCATGCAATGCAAAAATATGTATGTACATATGTATGCAATAGCTAAGCGTGCATGGAACGCATTTGTTGTCGTGCATACCGCACGTGCTGTAAGTTTTTACATGTAGGCACATATATAAATATATACATTACTAAAGCGCCGAGATCTCTTAAAATATATATTTTTATAATATGCGAAAATTAATTGGGAGAAAGCAGATATTACTTTGATACTTTATAGGTATATAAATATTGTTCATTACTTTCTAACATATAAAAGCTCAATATATATATATGTGCATATGTTGACTGACTGGGCTTTAGTCTGACTAAACTTACAGTAGTTAGCTTTGATTATCAGTAGTTACATCTGTTATTTAAGTATTTCCGCAGCAACAGTTGCCACCAACAAAACACTTTAATCGTTATTTAAATGCAGTGATAAGAGACGACTTTGCGGTTTTCCAATTATATTTCGCAAGCCACAAAGAAGGCCCACAAGAACAAGGCTAAGAAATTAATAATACGACGCTCAAGCAATAAAATTCCGACGACGATGCCAAACAAATCAATGAATTCCACGAAAAATGTAAAGGCCAACAAAATATGCTTTTTTATATAAATACCAGCCGACGATGACTATTAAAATCTCATAATTTTTATTTATCAACCAAAAAAAAGTACCAGCAAATGGGAAAGACCCATTAACATTAGCGGGTGGCAGCACCCACAGACACTCGGCCGCCATCCAGTGACATGTGTAGTCCACAATTTCCCATGGTAGACCCCTCAATCCAAAGCAATCCAAGCGCCGCTCGGTGTGACTACTTAATCATAAATATTTCATAACATACTCTCTCTCTCTCTCTTTCTATCCCTCTCTGTTTCTCTTTGTTAAATGCCTTCCGCTGACATGGGCTTCTTAATTATTCAATGGACCCACTGAACGTCGCGTTGCCGCGATATCAAATACGACAACGGGTACGAGTACAACATATGTTTGCGCATTGCAAAAGTCTCTTTGTGTTGTAGAACTGCTGACAGCAGGAGCAGCAAAAGCAACAACAAGAACAACAACAACAAAAACTATTGTCATGTGAGTCATAGAAGTTGATCGCCGAGTTCTACAAGCACATAGCGACTCGACATGTATCAAAGCGGCATTTGGCGCTTTGTTGTGGTCGAGGTAAATTGCCTTCGATTTTCACAAGAGCAAACGCGAACTATGGACAAATTCTACAGGTGATGCAGGTATTTATAAATAGTTGATGTCGTAATGAGTACAGGGAAAAATTTCATTGAAAAGTGAGATCTCGATATGGGTAGAGAGCGCACATCATACGATTATTATACGCATCATGTAAGAGTATCTAAAACAGCTGCTCAGTGAATCACAAGCATCATTCATCCAATAAGCTGATGATGATTACGATGATGGGGATGATGATAATGGGTCAGTTGGTGGGCTGACTAACTGGCCCCGCATAGTACACGGTAGGCACACATAATACACATAATGCTCATGAGGCATGAGAACAAAGGAGCTCTACGGGACCCATTGAACTGAGCAATAAACAGATGCTAATTTAAGTACAGCCCGTATGTAAAGCTCGCAAATGATGCGTAAATTTCAGTTAGCACATTTAAAAATAACGACAATGGCCTAATTTCCAGCGCGTTTTTCAAGGGCTTTGGGCCATTAAAGCGAAAAAAAAGGAAAACGAAACAAAAAAAGCTATAATGCCGCCAGTTGGATGTCACGAGCGTCGTAATTTATCAAGATAATCGAAATAAGCAGCCAGGCAAGTGCAACAGCAACAACAATGCCATAATGATAAGATAAACAAGCCCATTATCAGTGGCGTGAGCAGGAGTTTCTCGCTGCTAAAGAGAAGTG